GAGCAGCTAACACAGCTTTAGCCCCAGACGCGGCAGCTTACAATAAATGTGGGTCCTTGCCGAGGCGACGTTCAAGTGCTCCCCGTAGCTGGCGAAGCAGAGGGGCGCCGGGTTCACGCCACGACGTTGTGGATAGTCAGGGCCCCCCAACCGGCTCCCTGCTCCGGCACCTTCGGCCCTGACGTCCCCCAGCCCAGGCGGGTGTGATCGGTGCGCGAGCTGGTGCGGCTCAGAACCAAGGCGCTCCCCAAGGTCACTGCGGGGTCCCCGGGGATGGGCCTCACACCACAGAGTGCGCTGGGGAGGGGCGGCCAGACGCGAGAGACCGGAGGGCGGAGAAGGGGATTCATTAGGACACCAGCAGGGCTCTCAGGGATGCTCCAGGCGCAGTCTCCCCAAAGCCCCTAAAGGCCCTGCAAGAGCAGCCCGTGGGGCAGGATCGTGTGAGATGTTACTGGGGGCCCCGGGCTGTGATGACCTAAATACCCATGGGTCAGAGCTGACAGTTCTGCTGGCTTCAGCGGGCTTTCGACCATCTGCACCAGCCCCTGGGCTCTGCCCTCTGCTGCAGGAGTCCGTCCATTGAGAGATCCCCACAGGGCGGGACCCTGAACAGGCCCCGCAAGCCCCATCCCTGCAGCGAAATCACTTCCTGTCCCAAACACCAGGCAGCCGTGAAACACCTCCTGGAGCCCCGCTGGCTGCATCTCAGTGCTGAGTGAACGCTCCCGGGGCAGCATTGCTGTGCACCTGTTATCTAGCTGCCACGTCCCACCCCAGAAATGGGTGCATTTCAGCTTTGGGCAAGTGAGCCCTGTGCAGCACGGCTGTTAAACACCTCCTGTGTCCCACCCCAGAAGTGCATGCATCGCCACACTGTGTGGGCATTCCCTGAGCAGCACTGCCATGTGGCTGTTAAACTGTTGCCATCTTCCACCCCAGAGGCGGCTGCATTTCAGGGGCGGGTGCAGCAATCCTTGTTTATCCCTTATCTACTTCGCCCAGGGGAGGCTCAGAGGATGAACCCGTATTTGCACAGTGGGAATGAACCTTGCTGGGGCACTGCGGGATGCTTGGCCTGGTGGTTATTTCCTTTAGAAAAGAACCAAGCTGGGGCATTTCTGCTAATGCGGGGAGAGGCCGCTCTTTCCAAGAAATGCTGCTGGCCACAGAACCCTGCTGCTCTGCGTCAAGGCTTCCCCCCCCAGGATGTGGGTGTAACTGCCCTCTCGGCTTGGCACAGGCAGTGTGAAGTTCGAAACAGAACCTTTCTCTTCCCCCTCAGTGAAACCTCCGGGAACCTCCCTGGATCCAACCCTAGAGATTCCCCAAACCTGAGGAAAATCCGCACGACGCCAAACAGTTTGCAGCACCTGCTCTAACCTGCTTCCTGGGGCCTCTTGCCATGCAAACTCCCTCCTGCTGGCACGCTGGCCAGTGTGGACAGAGCAGATCCTGCCTTTAAAGACGCTTTTCCCCACTGCGTTTATGGCTTCAAACCTTCGGGTTGGCTTTCTGCTGTTCATATGAACTACAGGGAGTGGAAACATGGACCAAGGCTGTATCCTCTGCGCCCGTGACGGCTTCCTGCCACTCGATCCATCTGCCCTGTATAGAAATGTGCCATCTGTTCAGCGCTAGGGAAATACAAGGAGCTACATGTGTGCCTGGGACAAGATGGACACAGTCGGCCATGGCTTGTCACTAATCCCAGAGCCCGAAATGGGGGGTGGGGGGTTGGCAGGGCCTTTGAGTCCAGCCCTCTGTGCTGAGGCAGGACCAAGCAAACCTGCTTACTATAGAATCACAGGACTGGAAGGGACCTCGAGAGATCATCTAATCCAGCCCCCTGCACTCAAGGCAGGGCTACGTATTATCTAGACCATCCCTGACGGGGGTTTGTCCAACCTGCTCTTAAAAAGTCTCCAGAGATGGAGATTCTACAACCTCCCTGGGCAATTTATTCCAGTGCTAAACCACCCTGACAATTAGGAAGTTTTTCCTAATGTACAACCTTTACCGCCCTTGCTGCAATTTAAGCCCATTGCTTCCTGTCCTATCCTCAGAGGTTAAGAAGAACAATTTTTCTCCCTCCTCCTTGTAACAACCTTTCATGTACTTGAAAACTGTTCTCATGTCCCCTCTCAGTCTTCTCCTCTCCAGACTAAAGAAACCCAGTTTTTTCAATCTTCCCTCATAGCTCATGTTTTCTAGACCTTTCATCATTTTTGTTGCTCTTCTCTGGACTCTCTCCAATTTGTCCACATCTTTCCTGAAATGTGGTGCCCAGAACTGGACACAATACTCCAGCTGAGGCCTAATCAGCGTGGAGTAGAGCGGAAGAATTACTTCTCCTGTCTTGCTTACAACACTCCTGCTAATACAGCCCAGAATGATGTTTGCTTTTTTTTTTTTTGCAACAGCGTCACACTGTTGACTCATATTTAGCTTGTGGTCCACTGTGACCCCCAGATCCCTTTCCGCAGTACTCCTTCCTAGGCCGTCATTGCCCATTTTGTATGTGTGCAACTGATTGTTCCCTCCTACGTGGAGCACTTTGCATTTGTCCTATTGAATTTCATCCTATTTCCTTCAGACCATTTCTCCGGTTTGAATTTTAATCCTATCCTCCAAAGCACTTGCAACCCCTCCCAGCTTGGTATCGTCCACAAACTTCATAAGTGTGCTCTCTATGCCATTATCTAAATCATTGATGAAGATATTGATCAGAACCAGACCCAGAACCAATCCCTGCAGGACCCCACTCATTATGCCCTTCCGGCATGACTGTGAACCACTGATAACTACAATCTGGGAATGGTTTTCCAACCACCTTATAGTAGCTCCATCTAGGTTGCATTTCCCTAGTTTGTTTATGAGAAGGTCATGTGAGACAGGATCAAAAGCCTTACTAAAGTCAAGCTACACCACGTCTACCGCTTCCCCCCATCCACAAGACTTGTTACCCTGTCAAAGAAAGCTATCAGGTTGGTTTGACCCGATTTGTTCTTGACACATTATTATCTTCTAGGTGTTTGCTAATTGATGGGTTAATTATTTGCTCCATTATCTTTCCGGATACAGAAGTTAAGCTGACTGGTCTGTAATTCCCCAGGTTGTCCTTATTTCCCTTTTTATAGATGGGCACTAGATTTGCCCTATTTCCAGTCTTCTGGAATGTCTCCCGTCTTCCATGACTTTTCAGAGATAATCGCTAATGGCTCAGATATCGCCTCAGTCAGATCCTTGAGTATTCTAGGATGCATTTCATCAGGTCCTGGTGGTTTAAAGACATCTAACTTGTCTAAGTCATTTTTTGACTTATTCTTTCCCTATTTTAGACTCTGGTCCTAATTCATTTTCACTGGCATTCGCTATCTTAGATGTCCAGTCGCCACCAACCTTCTTGGTGAAAACCGAAACAAAGAAGTCCTTAAGCACCTCTGCCATTTCCACATTTTCTGTTATTGTCTTTCCCCCTCATTGAGTAATGGGCCTACTCTGTCCTTGGTCTTCCTCTTGCTTCTAATGTACTTATATAATGTTTTCTTGTTTCCTTTTATGTCCCTAGCTAGTTTGATTTTGTTTTGTGCCCTGGCCTTTCTAATTTTACCCCTACGTACTTGTGTTATTTGTTTATATTCATCCTTTGTAATTTGACCAAGTTTCCACTTTTTTGTAGGACTCTTTGGTTTTTAGATCTTTGAAGATCTCCTGGTTAAGCCAGGGTGGTCTCTTGCCATACTTCCTATCTTTCCTATGCAGTGGGGTAGTTTGCTCTTGTGCCCTTAATAATGTCTCCTTGAAAAACTGCCAACTGTCTTCAATTGTTTTTCCCCTTAGACTTGCTTCCCATGAGATCTGACCTACCAATCCCTGAGTTTGCTAAAGTCTGTCTTCTTGAAATCCATTGTCTTTATTGTGCTGTTCTCCTTCCTCCCAGTCCTTAGAACCGTGAACTCTACCATTTCATGATCACTTTCATGGTACGATGGTTTGCCCAGTGCTTTGAGATCCTCAGACACCGCTGCTATCAGGGAATTATTATTAGTGAGTCTGTTATTCGGTACGTTACCATTCTCTGAGCCCAGCTGCCCAGAGATTCACCCACCTCCCTGTGTTCCTGCGGCCAGCTAGGAAGAGACTTGGATCTACTCCGGAGTTCTGCAAAGAAGCAGACGGCTCCTGCCCCCACCCTGCCTGAGCGGTTAGACTCACCAGCGGCCGGCTCAGGCCCAGACGGGGTCATTTTCACCCGACTCCGAGCTTCGGTTGGGCGTGTGGGCAGGATTCCGGCTCAGCCGCACCTGGTTCCCCTCCCTCCCTCGGTCACACTGACTCATCTGCACCTAGAGCACAAGCCTTGTACCCCCCATCACGCCGAACGGGATCCCTGCCCTGCCCCGCTCCACCGCGGGCTCGAGGACTCCCCGAGGTCCCTTCCCGTGACTTCCAGCCCAGCGCTGTTCCCTTTGGGGAAGGTCTTGCCCTCTCCAGGTGCACGGGCGACAGAGGGGCAGGTCCTTTCTGGGTGTGCCACGTAGACTGGTGCCAATCGGTGCCAATCGGTGCCCAAAGCGGAAGAAACAGCAGCGGCTGCTCAGAGGTGCAGGGGCCTGAGGCTGCATTTGGCTCGTGGTGCTCGGGTTCGGTTTCAATCTAGACTTGTAATGATTCAGGGCCATCAACCTCAGGAGGTTCCTGCCCTGCTAAGAACGGAGCTGTGCCCACCCCACCCCCCACAGCTCGTTCCAAGCCGGGGACACAGACATGTTACGAGCTGGGGCTGGATTCAAACCAGCATCCTCCAAGGGAAAGGCCCATGTCCCACTGCGGGGCCCCTCTAATGCCCGGGGGCCATACGAAGCAGCATTAATGACTAATGCCCAGAGCTGATACAGGCTCCGTGCTTTGCCCTGCCAACGGCTAACACCTCCATGGGCGCCCGCGGGGGGCGGCTCCAGGGTGGAGGTCGTGAGCCTCACACACAGAGCAGAAGGTGCCCAGGCAGTCAGTTTATTTGAGACCAACAAAACCAAGAGGAACCAATGTAAGCCACTGGGGGGTGGGAGCTTGGGGTTACCTGGGCGTCTGGACTGGACTCACTGTAAATGTATCAGTCCCAGGGCACCGAAAAAAGGATTGTACATGCACACGGATGCACACACACGCACACTCACATGTACATTCCCACGTGCACACACACATGCACACAAACACAGGCACACACATGCACACACACACACACACACACACACACACGCACAGGCACCAGGGTTAGGCACCCTGGAGAGCTGCGGCCCGGCTCGGCTCCTCTGCACACCAGGGAAAGGGCTGTGACCCCACCGCCCCTGGAACCAGTCCCCCGGGGTGAGGGCTTTGGGCTCAGACACCTCTGGGCTCCTCCTTGTCCTCACCCAAAGGCTCAGGCCCCTCACGGCCCAGTGCTTTCCCCTTCCCCGAGTCACCCTCCCCACTGCGGGCGGGCAGGGGGCAGCCCTGGACCGTGGCCGCCGTGGGCTGCAGCAAAGACATCATGAAGCGTTTTCTCACAAGCCGCCACACTACCAAGGCTACGCCGCCGAGAAATATAATCGCCCCCAGCACCACTGCGACTATCACGATCCGGGACCTTGGGGGAACTGTGGAGACAGTGGGAGAAACACGAGTCGGGGAGAGCCCCAGCTTGCTTCCCCCCCGCCCCCCACAACACAGCCCAGGTGCCCCTTCCCCCTCCCCCGCAGAGCCCAGGTGCCTCTTCCCTCCCGCACAGGGCCCGGGAGCCCCTCGAGCCCCCCCCCCCAACACAGCCCAGGTGCCCCTTCCCCCCCCCCAGGGCCCGGGTGCCTGGGAGCCCCTGAGCCACCCCTCCCCCGACAGGACACAGTAGCCCTGTCTCAGTGGCCCCCAGCCAGCCCTTGCTGTCTGCCCTGACAAGAAGGGGATCAGACCAAGCCGGCAGGGCTGGGGACCCTGCCCCAGACAGAGACCACCCCCCGGCCCAATGAATAGCCCCGGCCTGGACCCACAGACACGTCACGAGGGAGCCAGTGACGGAGGCAGGCATGGAGCCCATGGCTCTGGGTCCCAAGTGCTCCCAGCCTTGGGCCCGGCTCCAGGGGCTGGCACGGAGCCCCTCCGCAGAGGGGAAGGAAGGCGCCCTGGGGCCCGTTGCTTTTACCTTGGACGAGGACATCGACCTGCCCCAAGCTGGCCCCGTATTTGTTCTGTGCCAGGCACCGGTAGGTCCCGTTGTGGGCGCGCTGGGCCGAGTGGACGGTCACCGTCCGGCCGTGGTCAGACAGCTCCACGCTGGCATTGGAGGGCAGCTCCCAGTGCAGCTCGGGCGGGGGGTTCCCCTCGGCGCTGCACCGCACCGTGAAGTTAGCGCCGACCCCGAACTCCAGCCGCTCCACGGAGACCTTCACGCTGTGGGGCGGGGCTGGAAGGGCAGGGGGAGAGCAGGGGTCAGCAAGGAGGGGCCATCTGGGAGTGACCCCCTGTGGGCCCCAAGGGAGGGGCTGATCCCCACCTCCCACCCATGTGCCCCACACCATCAGGCTTGCCCCGGTTGTCTCCTGGCCACCCTGCCAAGGGGGCGATGGGTATCACTGTCCCGGCATTACTGGGGGGCAGTGCTGGGAGTCTGGGCTCCAGGGTTGGAGTCCCAGCTCGGGGTGGGGTCAGAAAAGAGAACCCTGCCGGGGCTTTCCCAAGTGCTGCAAAGGGAGGAGGGTCTAGTAGTTATAGACAGGTGTTGAGAGCCAGGACTCCGGGGTTCTATCCCAGCTCTAGGAGAGGCCTGAGGACAAATGGGTCAGAACGGGGGGGCTGGGAGCCAGGACTCCTGGGTTCTGTCCCTGGCTGTGGGAAGTAATTTTGTTTTTTATTTCCATGGTCTCAAAAAGAGACAAAAAGTAATAGCAAAAAATAATTTTAAGTACATCAGAAGCAGGAAGCTGCTAAACCGCCAGTGGGGCCACTGGACGATCGAGGTGCTAAAGGAGCACTCAAGGATGGAGAAGCTAAATGAATTCTTTGCATCGGTCTTCATGGCTGAGGAACGTGAGGGAGATTCCCAAACCTGAGCCATTCTGTTTAGGTGACAGATCTGAGGAACTGTCCCAGATTGAGGGGTCATTAGAGAAGGTTTTGGAACAAACTGATAAACAAAACAGTAATAAGTCACCAGGACCAGATGGTGTCACCCAAGAGATCTGAAGGAACTCAAATGTCAAATTGCAGAACTACTAACTGTGGTATGTAACGTATCATTTAAATCAGCTTCTGTACCAGATGAGTGGAGGATAGCTAATGTGACGCCAAGTTTTAAAAAGGGCTCCAGAGGTGACCCTGGCAATTACAGGCTGGTAAGCCTGACTTCAGTCCCTGGCAAACTGATTGAAACTATAATAAAGAACAAAATTGTCAGCAGGGCCGGCTCTAGGCACCAGCAAAACAAGCGGGTGCTTGGGGCGGCACATTTTTAGGGGCGGCATGGCCGGCGCCAGAATGCCGCCCCTAAAAATGTGCCCCGGCCGCCCTAGCTCACCTCCGCTGCTGCTGCCACGGCACGCGAAACAGCTGATTCGCGCGCCGCTACTCGCCCTCCCTCCCAGGCTCTCAAACCTGGGAGGGAGGGGGAGACTCCGAGTGGCCGCGGTGCG